GAGCCGAAAAGGTTCCTTTCATTGTAAAGGAATGATTTTTCAGAACTCTTTTAAAGCCAAAAAGGTTCCTTTTATTGTAAAGGAACAACTTTTTGGAACTCTTTTAGAGCTGAAAAGGTTCCTTTAATTGAAAAAGAATGACTTTTCAGAACTCTTTTAGAACTGAAAAATCGTTTTTTAATAAAAATTTTGGATCCAGATCGGATCAGATTTGGATTTAAACTGATCTATCAGATCCGGATTTGAGATTCGATCCGTCAAATTTGGATTTTAACGGATCTATCAGATTCAGATCAGATTCGGATCCTGAAAAATGAAAACCAGATCAGATCAGATTTTATCCAAATCTGATCCGATCTGATTTTGTGAAACACTAGTTTGAAGTAATTTAGAATAGGTAAGAGGATTATTAGAATTATCATAAATTTTTCTGAATACTCTAGTAACTTCTAAACTATTCTTAGATGTGAGCAGAACTGAAGCCTTATATCTGGAAACTAAAGATGGCGTTGCAACTGGTTGCAACCGGTAACAAATAAGCATCACAGGGTTGCAACTAGTCGCAATATTAATAAAAATTGAGTTGCAACTAGTTGCAACTAGTGACAAATAAGTATCACATGGTTGCAACTAGTTGCAGCGCCATCTTTACTGGAAACACAGCCTATAATATTAAGTACTGCTTTATATTTTTTACCTCTATAGTGATCATGAGTGAGAAACAGTATATTACACTAGTGTATAAAATTAGGGCGTATTATTCGCCCATAGCTAGCTCTAAGAATGTATTTTAGAAAGGTTTTATTGATTTGGTATGACTTCTGATTTTCTAAAAAAGTTTTGTATTCACTTAGGCGGAATTGATGCCTTTTTTTTACATGCATCTCTCAACGATTTGGGATTAGAATAATATCCAGTTGAATAATAATATATATTATACAACATGATATGTTTTTCAATTCTTTGAGCCTCATCAGGGTCTATCAAAATTTGCGGTTGGCTCATTCTCAAGGTAGAATTATTATGATGGTACTATAAATTAGGATGAAATACCATGTTTAATCCAGCATATTCACAGCTTTTAGATACGAACTAGGAGCTTCGTAGTGAGCTTCAAGATGAGATTTCTATTAATAAGAGTTATAAAAAAAAAATTTGATTCCTTGTAAAGGAGCTTGAACAATGTTATTGAACTATTTCATTATAGGATAATACTATTATAGTCCATAAGAAAGTGATAGAGAAATTTAAATCAGAAATATCTGATTTATGAAAACAGCTTAGGATTTTACAACAAGATAAAAAATTCAAAGATAAGATTAGGTCTATTTAAGATGGCCGAATCATAGAACTTAAAAATAAAGTAGAATGTTTTAAAGCAAGAATCCAGATTCTCATAAATAAAAAAATCCCAATAGATAATTTAGATATGGCAATAACTAATCTTATCACAAATGTTAATAGAAGACTAGAGTAGATAGAAAATCATATTAGAGGTGTTGGTATACCTATGCAAAATCCTGCTAATGTTATAGATGGTATTAGAGGTTTGTTAAATACTATTCAGGTTATTTTACAAAATATTACAACCGAGCGTGATCAATATCAAAATTTATTATATAATTCAATTCAGTGAGTAGATCATCTTAGGAACCAGTTAAATGATAGTAAAACCAGAATTTACAGTTACAATGTTTATTAGACAAATTCTGGGCTCAAGTGGAAAGAATTACGTAGTTGCATACAACTGCTTTAAATAATGAAACAGAAGCATGTAGGGAATATTGGTAATTGGCTCAAAATAGGCAAGAGCATATTGACGAATTGTTACGTAAAAATTTTGTCTTCTGACTATTAATTCAATGTAAGGATACTCAAATTGCTGAACATAGGAGAACTGCATATAGATTAACTATACACTATAATAATGATACAGAACGCTAGAGAAGAAGATATGCAGGTTGTGTTCGTTAAGCACAAAATTGGAAGTGACAATATAGGAATTCGCAGAATCAAATTCAGGCTCACAATCAGAATATTTTAAATTTGCAGGGACAAATTTTGGCGCTTCAGAATAACCCACCTAATATATAATATATAGGTATGGCAGGATATATATCACCAAGTTTTAGTGGAAATTATGATAAAGATATCGACTATTTTATCAATGAATTTAGAAGGTATTTAACCACTTCTAGGAACAATTTGACAAATAATACAGATAAGATCAGTGCACTAGGCTTTTTTAAGTCATGCTTAAAGGTAAAGCGGGTGAATAGCTTGAAAAAGAAATAGCGGGTAAAAATTGGGAATTATTCAATATCTCTACTGTAAATCGTACTTTGACACAATTATAAGATAATGGACAAGCATGAATCGTAAGACATTTATCATCTACGGCACCAGCTGGACTTAATGCACAACTTGTAGCGGCCGATGCTGGTGCTAGTGCTTTAGTAATTTCTGGACATACAATTTTCAATGAAGATTAGTCACCAGCAGGAGGTAATTCAACATCTAAAGTTATGTGTGCACCAAATGCAAATTTGCCAAATAGAACAGTTGTATTAGCCGACATCACTCTTGAGCAATTAATTGATTACTTTAAAGGAAATAATTCCACAGTTAGGTAACAGTATCAACAAGCATTATTTGGTATAACAGTGCAAAAAAGTGATTCTGTAGGTTCTTATTATACTAAACTCAAGAAGATTGCAAGACATGCTAATATAGGAGATGATGAATTTCGCTATAGATTTCTTGGAGAACTTTCTCCAAATAATCAAATGGAAGTTCATCGTATGAGGCTTAGTAGACATATTAATGAAATCCTTTTATCTTTAAAAGAGATTGAGAGATATAAAACTGAATTAGTCTCTGATGCTAACCCTCTTTTGCAATTTCAGCAATACATACAACCCTCTCAATCATATCTATTGGCTGAGATTGAAAAGTTAAAATCTGAAATAGTCTCCCTACAAAACCCAGTTAGCTCAACCAGTTTAAGTATACTTCCAGAATGATGAAGCCTTAGAAAAGATGTATATATGTGCAGTATGTTTAGGAATGCTACTTGATACACCAAGAAATCTTACATCCTTAGATAATTATATTAATGACGAATTAATAAGAAGATTGGGTGTTGCTAATGCTAATTATGCTAAGCTTTCTAAGCAAATTAATGTGATCAAAAAGTTATATAAAAGTGGCCGTAAACCTACTCGTAAAACTTCTAAAACAAAGAAAAAAAATCAAAAAATAAGTCTAAGAAGAAAAAATCTAAAAGTGGTCAAGTTCATATGGTTAGAGTAGATAAACAATCAGATTTAGATTCTTCTGATAGTGATACTTCTTTATCAGAATCTGAGGATAACTCTTCTAGGTCTGAGAGTTTCTTTTCTGAATCAGAGTTTGAGGGTGAGGCTAATGCTAAAATTAATGTTAATATATCTCAGGCAAAAAAAAAGTGAAGAAAGAGTAGATTCCAAAGAGACTGCATAACACTAGTACTTCTTTATGAAAAAAGAAATCAAAAAATCACAAATCTCATAAAATAAAAGATGCTAAAACACCTCCTTTAGCAGGTCCTTCTGGAATCACATCAGTTCCTATTTTCAAAAAAAAAAAGCAAAGTTCAAAATCTCTGACACAGGATGAACAATCCCGCTTAGAAAGAATTATTGAAAAAATTATTAAGAAGATGCTTAATGAAAAGTTTGGTACTATTACAACCCTCCTTTATCCGCAAAATGGTAATTCTAAAATACTGGTCGATTCTGAGGATGAGTTTATCGATGATCCTATAGAGATAGATTTTGTCCAAAGAAAAGAACCTGCTACAGATATTGTCACTGTTAAATGTAAAATTAAGCGTCTAGTGATTCTAGCAGGCACAGTTGATCCTGATGCTAATTTTCTGATCATGTCTGAGGATATATCTAAACGATCAAAGCTAGTAATTAATACAAAAAAAAATATGATCTCAGAGGTATCGCTACTACTCCTACAGAATTACTTGAAATTGTTAGAAATGTCCTAGTAAACTTCACTTCTAGATGTATTATACATGCTGATTTTTTAATGTTGATCTTATCCAACACACTTCTTAATAAATATAATTATGATTTACTTACATCAAAACGGAAATTAAAACTAGAGTATAATGGCAAGGAATTTTTTATTCCAATTAATATACATAAGATCAAAAACAAGCTCAAGATAAATTGTGCGAACATTACTCCTGAATGTGACAATTCTTCGACCCTGAACAAAATTTCACAGGATTTAAGTAAAGATGGCATATTAAAAAAAAGTGAGTTATGAAGAGCTTAAAAAAATGCTATATAGCACTCTTAAGTATAATTCAGAAATCAATGAGTTTTGTAAAAGTCTTCTTAGGGAATAGGCAAGTTATTTTCAGAATAACGCTTTTTTTTTATCTAAAATTTTTATGCTTTTTTCGACCATCTTCTCATATAATGCATCCATATTGTTTGTATCTTTCCTTGAAGCTGGGATTGGTTGAGTCTCAATAGATGATGCTGATAAAGCTAACGTGAACTTAGACTTTGACTTCTTTCCTCCAGTCTTTTTTTTCTTGCTATCAGAAATGATGTTACATTCACCGTAATTCTCTGAGGAAATATTTGGAAGACCTAAAGGATCATTCTTAAAATGAACTATATCATCATAGTTTGATAGCTCCGGTAACATATCTGCTAATACATATTCTTCACTCTGTTATAGACATTCACAATCGTTTCATATATCAGAGACATGATCTTTATTAATATAGTAGTTCTTTACTATTATATACGTAAGAACCTTATTTTTAAGGTATCTAATTTCTTCGATCTGCTCAGGCGTTAAAACACTAGCACCTCATCGATAATGAGTTTTTAAAAATTGGCTAGGGATAATTCCTCTAGTAATTTCTAGCAATATTTTAGAATGATAAAAAAATATAAAAAACAATATTTATATTTTTTTAACGATAAAAAACGATATTTATGGTTTTTGAACAATAAAAAACAATGAAAAATAATAAAAAATGATGAAAAGTGATGTTTTTCAATAAAGAATATTTGATATTTTATTTTAACAAGAAAAAATAAAAGATGCCCTATAGATAAAATCTAGTTATATGCATTTTTTTCCTGCCATATAACCATGCCAAAATTATGTCTAATGTGCATACATTAAAAGATATAAAAAATAGAGGATATCAGCTGGATAGTGCATATAAGTAAGAATTCGAAAAAAAATTAAGAACCGCTATCAATTTTAACTCTGAAATTACTGATTTCAATGAAAAGTTGCAGGCTGAAAATTCAGAGTATTCAAAATGAGAGGAGAATATTGGAAATAAGATTGGCCAGTTAAATGCATCTACTACTAAAGTTAGATCTCAACTTATTTCTAAATGAAAGTCTCATTCTGAGAGTCAATGTGAGCTTGAAGTCAAATATTCTACCAAAATCAAATCGCTCAAATCTTTTATTAAAATACTAAAAAGAGAGTTAACTTTGACCTAGAAAGTTTCGTCCGCTAACAAGATCAAGATTCTTTCTCTTGAAGCTAAGTTGAAGGATATAGATCTAGAGCGTACATATTCATGATTTGGATGTAATAGGAGGGGTAATAGAAGAGCCGGCCTAAATAAACTCATCTGATCCCAAAGAGATTGATTCTCTCAAGCTTGAATTGGAATGGGTAAAGAAGAATCTAGATTCAAAAAATTATGAAATAGAATGTATAAAAAAGGAGATAGAGGTAACAGACATTATATATAAATGGGAGTTAAACTCCTTATCTTCAGCATGATTAAATTTACTGGAGAAAAATACTCATCTTCAAGAATTACTGTCAAAGAAAGAGCCAAGTGGCGTTTCGCATAATGAAGTAGATACTCCATCCATACCTATAAATAATTCATTACAACTTTCAGCTCTTAATTCATCGTCTCAAATAATAGATAACGCAGAAGTAGTATCTTTACCAGCAACTACTCCTATCATCACGAGTTCCTTGATGTCACCTATATTAATATATTCTATACTTACCCTAATACTGATTGTAATTATATTGCTCATAGCCAGGAAATGTTAGAATTTGTGGAAAAAAAGTAACCAATTTTTTATCTACAGGAATTATATAAATAGGGATTATGCAAAGCATCTCTCAGTTAGACCAGATTATTATTATTTTCAATTCTAATTGACTACCGTATAAGTACTGGTGCAAGTGAAACTTTTTCGAATTTTTTTTTGATGTGAGCCAATAGCTTTTTTGGTAAATTTTCAGGTGGATTTATTGACATTTTCAGCTTGGGATATCGTATATGCTAATAACCATCTAATGTGAATTTGGTCACCTTCCTTACCATTATACTCATAACATAGCAAAAATCAATAGTCATCCATTACAATATCTTCCATCTCCTCCTATTTTAATATAGTTTCACAAGAGACTCCTGCCTATTTCCTTCTGTGATTGAGAAATAAATTTCATTGGGTTCGAAGCCTATATATTGGGAAACTTTTTCCTGTAGTTCAGCCATTATATCAATAAAGTTTATCTTTAAAATATGCAGATTTTTTCGGCTGATTGTATCCCAAGGATATGGTTTTGCCAAATTATTATATGCAAAAAATACTAATAATCATCTCTGGGTATATCTGAGATCAGGCTATATGATCGGAGGCCAGAAGTTCAAAGATAAAAATTGAAGTTAGCTGGTATTATTGCAGGAGAAAAAAATATATAAATAATATTATAAGTTTTCTTAGCTGAATTTGCCACCCCCGCTAAGAGTACCTAAAAAGATTATTGTAAGCTTTTTATATATTTTTTAAGCCATTTTTTTATCTCGTTCTGAGAATAAGTATCAATCTGCTTTTCTTTCTCGTCTGAATCTTTAAGTTGCATAATTTTATGTAAAGGTGATGGTTGAAATATATCATTCTCATTGATAAAACGTACGCATATTCCCACTATTTTTTCTAAATAGTAGTTGATGTCTATTTCCATATTAAGCTCTTTTGCATTGTCTACATACTCCATATAATCTTCAACTCTATGCGATTTCTTTTGCCTTATTCATTATAGAGGGCAGACCTTTAACGACTATGTAGCTGAATCATTTACCAAGATTAGAAATCCTCTCATTTCTCTTTCTCATATGTCTCATAAAGAGATTATTGCAAAGATTTTATTTCTTAGGCTTCCATGTTTCCATTACGATAAATTCATTAAAATCTCATTCTTTGTTCCACGCTTCTCTAAGAGTATCTTTAACAATTTCATGAATTGAGTGCATATTATTTATATCCATAGCTTCCTACATAATTTTTTTCCCAATAAATTTGAAAAGCTGGGACTTGTCTTGCTTTACGGTATCTATCCCTTTCTTGAAAAGATTTTTTGGTTTAAAGTTTACTACATCTTCATGTCTAATCCCAAAGTATTTCTTTTTACCAGTAAAGTAAACGGGAAATAGTACCTCTTCATATGCCATCTTAAGATAAGATGTGCTATTTTTTATCTTAAGATAAGCATTTACTTGATCACACAACTTTTTCATTGCATCCATAGTAATATTAACCATTTCAGCTAAGTATTCCTCCTTGAAAAGTTTTCCTTCATTAAAAACTCTATCACATTTTTCATAATACTTATCTAGACATGTAAGATATAAAGAATTGATATCCCTATATTTTATTCTAAAATCTTTTTCAGATACGAACTCTGCGATAAGATTAAGGTTGTATTTTCCAGCTGAAGTGATCCCTCTAGCTAATTTGAGAAGATAGATTAGAGATATTGAGTTACTTGCTTTCCCATAAAAAGTATTCATATATACCT